TCTCAGTAAGTAATGCCGTAGCCTTGGCGCTTGGTAATGCCTGTGCAGTGTGTAACAGTGTGAAAATAATCACATTAACTTCAAAAGCCTGAAAACTGCGAGCAGATATTACCGAAGATGAGACCTTGCAAGCAGGACTAATGTCTTAGACATAGCCTGTTGAAATGCATCTCTGATTAAATGAAAAAGGAGCAAGAGGCATGGCAATAACGACGGTAAGCACGTAGCAACTTGAGTACACATTTCTTGTGATATGGTAGAGCTACATATTGGACAATCTACCGAGTGAAGACGCTTCATTTTTCCACGGCATCGGCGGCACGATTTACGAGATGTGCACTTGACAGACATTACGGCAGGATGTCGAGGTGGCCTACGAAACGAACAGCCTCCATCCCGTGTTGGTAACAAGGCGGGAAAATACTTAAGTCATAATCATTTGATTTAGACCGCCTACATTCATTTGATTTACGATTGTGTTTTATTCAGTGTGACCTTGCTATTCGACAAGATCATTCATAAGCATTAACTTGTTTTATTTTATCTTACTTGGCAAGAGACGGCAAGCATCAAATATACACAAGATGTTTTAATGAACATAACGCCCGTGGTTGGATTGCCATGTAGAGATCCTTGGCGGGCTCGGGCATATGACTCAAAATCCCCAGAGTGTAAAACTCGAAACACGTATCTCCCCCATAAAGCCACAACATTTAAGCTTGTTCACGCCTTGTGTTACAACTCCCTCTCCCTCTCCCCGCTCAACAATTTTTGTTACTTTACCCAACTACGGTCAACGATCCCGAATTCAACTTTTTTGTCTTAAAATCGGTTCCGAAATAATATTCAGGTAAAGCTTGTGAATTGGTTTCGATTGATACTTCAACCTCCCAACTCAAATCGGCAATGTCCCAGCCCCAAGACTGACTTTCCGGAAGATCATCATTCTCCGGCTCTCGAGCGACGAGCAATACCTACAGTCGACAGCGCCACCGCCATGGGCGCTGTGGTATTTCACAGCTCCGCTTATTGGCCGTGCACAGGGCTGAGCCATAAGCCAATAGAATATCATCAAATGGATACATAAACAAACGTTCATGCTTTACATTCATACATAAATGGAAGCCGCTGGTATGTGCAACAAGCACTTGATGGGAGGGGATGGGGCTTGTGTTGAGGAGATCTTCGTTTTCATTATGCGTTAGATATGATAGGGGAGAGTGGGGTGGGTTGTATCAGTTTTTACTCCGAGACCCATAACCTCGTAACTATCCGTGATAAACTCATTGTTTCCATACTATCCCCTTCCTTGATTCTTCTGCTTTTTTGTGCAAAGTAACTTTTCCGCTACCTCTACCAGTTTTTCTTCTACGGTCTCCCGAATAGAACAATGTTTTTGATACAACTTGCCCCATGGCTTGGGTGAGTTGTATCACATGGTGGGGTAATTTGTATCACTATTTCACGTTTCAGGGAGTGTGCTTGCTACTGGTTTTGAACATAACAACAACATTAAATGGGGTTAATACAATGTGTAGGTATGCTCAAAGGCTTCACTTTATTAGACCAAACTTAGGGTAATGCAATCCGAAAGAAACATCAACAGACTAGACGCAAAAGTGGCCCGTTAAGAGCAAAGAAGCCAACACATTGTGCCGAAATGGAACGAGCCTTGACTAGCTGCCTACAAACGCGAGCCAGGGCTTAGCTTTCGCGATGAAAAGCAACATACCCATACATACATACATGTTACAACATACCCCACCCGGCTCTGATACAACATGTACTTCGCCGCCATCTTGGAAAAAACATCCTCCTGCTCAAAAAACAGCGGACAGCTGGAGAAATCCGTTTTCTCTCACGCAGCCTTAGAACCTACCCTCACCACCGCTACGGAGATCTTTCAAATTCGTGCACATCTAAATGCCCAAAACACACATTTTCTTGCAACTCATTTTTTTAGAATGACATTAAAAAAAACATAAAATCGGCTCTCACCTCGAGACGCGTCCACTCAGCCACAAGACAGAACAGGGAAAGATGGCGCCCGGAAAACCTCGTCGGCTGGTCGTGTCGCGAGCGCCATCCATTGGATAAGTTTGGCACAATTCGCCCTGATACAACTTGGACATGATACAACTCTCCCCGCTCTCCCCTATTGGGTGCAAGGGACCTTGAAATTTTTTCATGCTAGCACCATTCTAGCCATTTTACACATTTCTGGAATAAGCATTGCAAGGGTATTGACATCGCAAATACCTTTGACTAGCGCATGAGCAAGGACCAGCACAACATTACCAGGCTGCTGCCTGCTTTCAGAAAACAGTTTACCAGGGAAGCACATCGCAATCCACGTGGAAGGCATACCTATTGACATTCACATAACCCTGTCGAATGCATAAGTCTGAAGGTTCTGGACGTCCCCAGTCACCTGGAGGGCGCCATTATCATCCGAATGAAGGTCCATTTGGAATACCTGAGCGCCCGAACGCTAAACTAGCGGCCTCCAAACGTCCCAGGTGAGCCTCCTCCACTGCAGATACTCCCCATGGAGAAGCCGCCAATACGTTTCCATGGCAACCAACTCATCTCCATGACAACGGCGGAGTCACACATGCCACGCGACAAAGTTTCTCACTATGGAAATGCTTGCGGGCGTGGAGAACTTCCAACAATGCGAGACATTTGGCGGATGGTAGGGTAGGTGTCGACATAGGCCGCTTGCTGCCCAGGATCATAAGACACATTTTCGGGAAAAGAAGGTGGAGGGGGAGACCTTAGGCCGATATAACCGAAAAGCAAGAGCCAAGAACAATGTTCTTCAAACTCTTGGCCTCTTGGGGTCTAAGACTCAGATGTGCATTGATCACATAAATTGATTCAGGATCAGATACAATCACTAGATCTGGGATCATATGGACCATAGGTATATCCAGCTTTCTATAATTAAGATCCAATATCATCACCATTCGTTCAGCAAAGTGGTATGCATTGGCGTAGATCACCTATCGTCACATAAATAACATATGGGTACAGGATGCATGGTGTATTGGTGTAAGATCCATGCAGATCCTAGATCATTATCATTTATTGCCAGATCCTGCGAGATCCCACGCCCAATGCCTGTTTCGTTTTTTTTTCGTAGGATTCGAAGGGATCATAGATTCTATCCTTCAGGTTGGCCGTAAATCTAGCGAGATCCTGGATAGAAGATCCCACACTCGATTCCATATACATTGACATAACAGAACCCAAAGGAATGATGATACAGGAGGCTGTGACTTTTTGCGTTTTATTGTCTAGTGTCTGCGGTTTTCACATAAGCCACAATGGGGTTCCGTTATCAGCGACTGCACAGCGTCTCACAGAAAGTTGATCCGGCAAACTTTCCCTAGCAACTGCGCATATTGTTAATGAGATCAGGCACCATCAGCGCGGGGTGTCGGTATATTGATGAGGACGCCGTAAGTCAACATTGACGTCACCAGACACCAACTATCTGAACTGTTGCACCAGAAACTTTCAGCAATTAGAGCCAGATATGCAGCGTAACATTGTAAAATGAGTGGATGTGTATAATGAGATGGTAGTTACGTCGTCCACTCCAGAAGTTGTGAGACTGGCCTCGTAAAATCCATATGAACAGTGCTAGATACTTGTTGTTCTCACAAGTCCTTACCACAGTTGTTATAAACGTACTTGCGTAATTTTGTTTTTCTACGTTGCAAAAGACGGCAACGGTGTCACCCTGAACATGGCAAGTCCCACGCGGCTTGTCACAGTGACCAGTGTAGAGCACAGTCAGGTTGTTCATGTGAAGACAACTTAGAGGGTTGCTGTGCAATAAAATTTTGGGATTAGCTTGGCAAAAATGCCCGAGAAACATAGCAAATTGACTCTTATGTGACTTGAGACGAAAGCTGGATGTATTTTTACCATCATGAGACCAAGAGACAGAAGGTCCAATGAAAACACACTGACTCCTTCAGACCCAATAAAGACAGACAGCGCAGGTTCACTGGGAAGCTCAAATTAGTCCCTTACTTAGAACAAAAAGGCAAAAACTTCATAACCTGGGTCACCTACACGGCCAGATGGTCAACAAGGAATGATTCGTGAAGGTTCTGAGGGAGTTGAGAAAGAGATTTCGCCGCAAGAGGTCGGAACTCTTCAACTGTGGCCAGGGGCTCCTGCACCAGGACAGCGCACACACCCACAAGTCCACCATGGAGACGAACTATCTGACACAGATGTGCGTCAAAACCGCCCGTAACCCTTCCCACAGTCCTGATCTGGCCCCCTGGCTTCTGAATGTTTCCCAGACTGACAGGGAAGCTCAGGGGCCGTCTTTCGGAGGATGTGGAGGAGATAAGTGAGGCTGTGACAGAGGCCCTGGGCACCTTCACTTTGAAAGTCTATCAGCAGGCCTTCAGGCAGTGACAGGAGCGCTAAAGCAGGTGCATTGGACTCGGGAGGTTCCATTTCGAGAGTCATAGAAGTTTCATGCTTCTCTGAAACAGACAACTGTCTCTGCTGAAAAAGTCTCAAAACTTTTGGAGTGCACCACGTATGTACGTAATATGATCGACGTCATAATCCTTGAAAGTGTTGGTCTCCAGGTAAAATTCAGAAGACCAGCAGTTTGGATGTGGCCTGAATACCCCCAGCTATTTAGACTGGTAGATCTAGATCTGTCAAATGACAGAGCGACCTCGCTGTCAGACTTAGACCGAGTGCATACCGTGCCATTCGGGTAAGGAGAAAACCGAACTGAAACTAATGACCGCTTCACAAAATATTAATTTGACGTGGCCAGTAGGAGAATTCCTAGGATCACATCTTCGCTCGACCTCTACGAAGCTGATCCGCTGGAATTGTCAGTTTGTCACATCACTCCACTTCGTTGTCTGTCCCCATGACCTTGTCTCTTCTTCTCCCCCCCCCCTCTCTCTCTCCTACCTTCCCCCCTCTTCCCCACTGCACGTCTCAGCCCCACCCACCTTTGCGTGGCGAGTCGGCTGGGTCGGGGGTGTCGATGTCGGGCCGTCGGCGCGGGGAGGGTACGACACCCTCGCCACCCTCAGCGCCAGCGGGGGCAGCCTCGGCCATCACAGCTGACCTTCACGAGTTCTGGTAGGTGCTTCTTGAAGCTATCAGCCAGACAGAGATCTAAGAGATGATGCTTCTCCGGCAGTGTTCTGTTGTATCTACTGCCTCACAATGTCCACAGCAGGTTACAGGCCAGATTAGCAGCAGTCACTAGGGGCAAACAGACAGCAGAGCAATGTCAGTGTTTGTGACATACAAAGCAATGAAAGTCAGCTGTTAGCAGGCAATGGTGGGTATAATACATCAGCTATGCAGAGACATTATTCACCTATACAAGGCAAATTCAATATTCACTATGTTCATTATGTAATAGGGTACCTAATACCTGTAGGATGCTGTAGGCATTATAATGCCTATAGGTATAGGTAGCCTATAGGTATCCAGGTGTTGGGAATAGCAAAACAACCAATAAGTTTGCCAAATTACTGACTTTTTGCCAGTTATTAAATACCATCCTGTTCATTATGCTTCACATTTCATATATGGCCTGGCCTGGACAACAAACTGACCCATGAAATTTGGAATTGTCTGAACAATATCGGGCTGAATGGCACAGCAATTGATATACTTTAACAGGTAGGATTGAAAAGTGGATAGCTTTGATGATTGAAAAGAAATATACACAACAAAAATACCTAAAAGCAGGGCCGGGGTAAGCAGTGATGGCCGCCCATCACTGATGGGCAGCGCAGGCATCACCAATAGCTTTGATGGTCTTTATCTTGCAAAAGTTGTTAAGTGTACCATCTTTTTTAAAGTAACAGCAAATTCTTATTGCATTTGGGTGATGAGTGCAGTAGGGGGTAGGCATTTGGGGCCGTTGCCCCAATTGCCCCCTAGACCCGCCTATGCAAATGCATATCCCGTAAGCACGGTTATACATAACAGTCATGTATTGCACCCAACTCAAACTAATAGTATATAGAAGATGACCAATCAGCAAAACTCAAAAAAGCATTCAACTCAAAAGTGGATTTTGGGTATCCCTTCCACAATCTTCATCATAAACAAAGGCAAAAATTGAAATACAAATTCGTTCAGACAAAAACACCTAGTTGCACAACTACTTCCACGGTGCATTATCACATTTCCTCTTACTTCAATTACTTCAATAACTGCCCGCAGTGCTCACCAATTACTCACCTCCCATCAACACTGGATTTGTTTACTCGACGACTTGACTCGCATTGCAAATCCCCACACTTCCAAGCGATTTTTAGCGACTGGGCCTTGAAGGCTATGGTGGCGACATCTATAAATCTGTTGTAGCCCTGCCTTGCCTACCTGCCAAAACTCATCGAATAGGCGCTGCAGCTGTGTGCGAGGGAACGGTGCTTAGCCGAGAATCGAGATTGAGATGAACTTAGGACGTGAATTGCGGAAATCACGTCGTATCATGGATGCTGCTACCCAAAATATGTCTCGAGTAGGAGCAGCCTTTTTGCTTGATGACATTCCAAAACATGTCTTTTCTTAGAATAAAGCGTAGACTTTCTGTGAACCAAACAGTACGGAAAATGAGCAGTGAGCACAACCTGGCACGAGCATGACAGCAACGCCTTTAACCCTATTAGTGGCAGGGGGGGGGGGGTTGTTTTCATCCACCCCTCAGGTTTTTCGGGAATATCTCCGAAACCGCTGAAGCTACGATGCTGAAATTTTCTGACTTTTCCTAAAACTAAATTGGGCACATTCCCTGAAAATTTCAAGTTCATAACTTTACCAAGGGCGGCTCCAGAGCACTGGGAATTGGGGGGTCCTATTCGTGAAGCGAGTCATTTGGGCGATGATCACGATGCTGATGTATTATAACTGTATGCACCAGTTTTATCATGTGATAACATATACAAAGTTATTGTGCATCCTCTTTTGACACGTTTTTGCTATAATAGGCGGATCCAGGCGTCCAAAAAGGGGGGTTATGTTTTACCTCCCAACATAGGTGCCCTGACACCGCCTATGCATGACCAATACAATTGTAGTCGTTCTCTCATAAGAAAATTGTAACATAACAAGACCATTACCACCCTTTTTAGAAACAGTACCAACAAAAACCTTATTTGCTATACTTTTTGTATACCCCCAATCTCAATGATCTGTATCCGCCTATGATTTTTGAAAATGCATATTTTTAGGATCCATGTGAATTCCTGGTTCATTCTTTATCGATCGGCAAAAGTTGCGTTAAGATTGGTTCAGAAACCTGGCCGTGATAAGCAGTCTAAAATGTATCTGCAATTTGCCCGTTTTTACCCCCCTCAACCCCCCTTTTGACATTTTCTTAATTTTTTTTTTAGAAATGTAGATCACGTTGAGCGAAGTCGAATGCCGTTTGAATTTTGAAAATCGGCCCGTTAGATCTCGAGATATCAAGGGGGGGTCGTAAACAGCCCCCCCCCCTGCCACTAATAGGGGTAGCCAGGAGCCTGCCACTAATAGGGTTAAAAAGTGAAAAGCCGCCAGACATTTTGTGATCAACACGGGTCATGTTCTCGTCTTATGGAGCGTTGGCCGAAGATGCTGTTCTCACCACCGAGCTTGGCTCTCACCCTACTGGCCTGACGTAGCCATCGCTTCGAGGACTCTTGCATTTTGCAAATCGATGATAATCGAATATCGTCCCGAACATCAATACACCAACAACCAGTCAAAATTTATTCAAAAAATCACCACGAACATTCCACCAGGAAGGTCATGTGGACATCATTCCACCTTTGAGGCGATCACTGATTATCACTAGCCAACATGGAAACATGGTTCTCTTAGCCAAACACTCGTAACATGGGGGAAAATCCAGCCGTGAAATTCCTTAGTGGAGGAGGGGTGCCGGTAAACGAAACACACCAAGCATTATGGCATCTTACGATCCAAATAACATTGGTGAGCGTCCCTATCACCAGTAGAAAACAAATAGCACTACCGACAAGGTATCTTCTAAAGAAAAGGACGATACAGAGCCATACGAATGCGATTCTGAAGCCGGTACGATTACGTAGCGACCAACGTTTAACGTAGTTACAGCCCCAGGTATGACAGCATCGGTTACACAGATAGCTCCCCTTCTCATCATCAGCTCGAAACACAGCAGAAACTGCCAGAAAACGGTCCGTTTGATTCATTCGTCCTTTCTTTAATTCCGTATGTAAGTGCATCCATGTATCTCGAGATAGTACATCTTCTAAGTCCGTAAATCCGTAGTACCTTTCACCGTTCGTACGTCAGCCCGTTCGTCCGTCCAACCGTACAGTCCTCTCGTCTTTCTCATATTCCGTACGTCGGTCCATTCGTCCTTCCGTAAGTCTATTTTTCTGTCCCGTCCGTAGGCCCATAAAAGCATTATTCTGTTGTATCTGCCAGTAGTTAGCCCATTCGTCCGTCCGTTTATTTCTGTCTGCCTGTCTGCCAATCCGTTCGTAGGTCCGTACGTCTTCATTCAATCCGTCTGTCTGTCCGTAAAACCATTCACTAGCCCATCCGTCCGTCCGTCCGTCAGTTACCGTCCGTCTGACAATCTCTCCGTCCGTCCGTGGGACCATTCCTCTTCTGCCAGTCCGTGTGTCGTTCAATTGCTGTCTGCTAGTCAGTCTTCCGTCCAACTTCATTCAATCCGTCCGTCGCTTCGTCCGTAAGGCTATTCCTCTTCTGTCAGTCCGTACATCCGTACCGCCCGTCCGTCCGTCAACCAATCCTTCCCCCGTCATCAGACCCATCACCTAGTCGTTGAACTGCTTGTAGAGCTGGGGCACATAGTCGTCCCACTGAGCCTGGTACAGGTTGCCGGCCACAGGAGCGCCGAGGTTGTGCTGCTCGGCGAACTTGGACACACTCCACTTTTCACGGCCCTTGGCCTGTTGAGGAAGGGGGAAGATTAGACTTGTGGTCGATCGTGGAAAAGGGTGGTGAAGTGTTAGATAAGTGTACGATTCTCAGCAGACAGCAAGTGGCATATGGTAAGCATATTAATTGGATGATGGACGATATGGAAGACTATATAATGCATTTTTAGGTCGGAAAAGACGTAAGAGTAAATGATGCTTTCGTTAACGCTCTGAAATTTTGTTATAATAAAATGATCATAGCATGGTGTCTTGATTTTGCGGTATTACAATAGAAAACTGGCATATAATTGCTTTATCAATCACTCGCCCAATCACAAAACGTCTTCATCTCATCATTCGGACATTGGACAAAAAGCAAAACCTCCCATCTAACCGCACAGAACAAGCTACGTGACCAACGTCCAACTGACATGTCACCATACGAAACACTCCCTAGTGACCGGCATATTGTGTGACATCGCCACCTATACGGCCTCTAATTGGTCATTCTCACCTGGTTTTTGGTCTTCCTCAGTGCCTCGTCCACAGTGATCTTGCCGGGCTGCTTGTAGACGAGGAACACATACCTGCGGAGGTCAGGTCAGGTCGGGTCACCTCAGGTCAGGGCAGCCGTCAAGCTTGACAGTCAAATGCGTGAAGGCGGGGGAGAAGGAATTATTGGAAAACACGTTGACAAATATTATTCAATCACCAATACTCACAACATATACCGATAACCCCACCCTTCACCACAACTAATACGGCCCCCCCCCCCCCTCCCCACCAGCCGTCAACCTCGCTCCTGTGATCCCACCCCTTCGCCACTTTCCTCAATAGTCCCCAACCCCTCTCGCTTCCCAGACGAAGGTTCGTAAACACAAGGTTGGTATGCGCAAAAATTCGTAAGGAATTGTTCGTTCGCATTGGATAAGATTCGTATTGGATACTATTCGTAACGGTAAAGGTTCGTAGTGGAAAAAGGTTCACATTTGAAAGGTTTGAATCGGATAAGGTTCGTACAGGACAAGGTTCGTAACCCTCCCCCTTACCTGTGAAGTCCAGCACCTTTGGACTCCCCTTCCTCATCCCCCTGGTAGTCCTCTCCCCTCTATTGACCCCTCACCTATGCAATCCAGTTCCTGTTTGGTCGTCCCATCCTCAGCCCTCCACTCTCCAGTGATCCCTGACCCCTCAGTCCCCTTCCCCACCGTCCCGCCCCTTTACCTGTCCAGTCCAGTGCCTTTGGGCTCCCCTCCCCACTCCCCCGGTGCCCCTCCCCCTCACCTCCCTTACCTGTGCAGTCCGGTGCCTTTGGGCGGTCCTGATCCGACGAACTCTGACACGGCGTCCCCGGCGGCCAGGTCCGTACCGGGTACATTAACCAGCAGCCAGTGGCGCCACTCGCCAAACTTGGGGTCGGCCCGAGACGGGGCGTCAGGGTCTGTGGATAGAGGGGAGATTAGGAGAGAGGGGTGTGAGACCATTGAGAGAATTGTACGGAACTGGGATCTACTTACTGACAAACGCGGAAAAGCTACGGGAGGTGCTGGTAAACGCAAACTGTGCAGTGGGTAATTTTTATAGGGTTAGCCGGTAGCCCGACGATGTCCTGCTGTATTTCACAAGCGTGTTTAGTTTATACACACAGCTTACATATGAGCATACTGCCTAGTCACTAGTGCCTACACAGCTATCCTTTCAGCAGCTTGCAATATGCAATCGTTCTGATCGATGATAAATCGATAAACAAAAACAGCAATCAACTGTGACATATCTTATTATCTCCATCCCTGTACATATATCAGCTAGCAGCCATCATTAGCTGCTCTGACCTTAGTGCCTCCATGGATGACTAATCCATGGTACCTCAGTCACAAACGGCCCGACATTCGAACTTACCGGTCATCACCACGGTATAGAGGGCGCCACTCTCGGCGGCCCAGCTAAGCTGCGGCTGCTCCTTGACCTGGGTCGGGGTCAGCTCGGCACCACCGTCCACCGTCACACCGCCCGGGTAGGTCACCTGGGGTCAGGGAGGGAGTAGGTCACATAACTTTGCAGGTTAGGTATGTCACCTGGGGTAAAGATGGATGAGATAAAAGTAAGAAAGGTCATCTGGGGTCAGCGTAGCGTAGCCCGTAGGTCAACTCAGGTCTCATCGTCGTCATTCTAGACAAGGCTGTCCATGTGACGCTAAGAAGTAAAATCGTTTACAGATCAACGCTCGTGCCTTTCAAGCTAAGCTCCTATTATCCAGTTCAATTATCCCAGCGCTCTCACATGTCTAACATTCTCCCTTCCTCAGACCTCAATTCTCTTCCTTACATTCTACTCTTATTCTGCGCTTCTATCCTTCTTTTCCAATCATTCTACCACATCTCTCAGCTACCTAGTCCTACCCTCTATCATTTCACTCTCCCTGCCTCTTCTTTATATCTCACTCCATTCCCCTCCTCACTTCCCCTCTCCCCTCCCTTCCTTCTCACCGTGAGCACAGCGGCGGGTCCAACAGGAATCACATCGGGCACCACTTTGTGAGTCTCCATGGCAGTCACACTGCGAGTCAGACGGACGGGATTCTCCACAGACTGTTCAGACTGTTCGGCCGTGAGCTCACACGCAGAGGCCGGTGGTGAAAGGAGAGAACCCGCTGTAGAGAGAGGGAGGTCAAAGGTCAGGTATGAAGATATCGTGGGACAGGTACGAACAGTTTGCCAAGGTTACGTAACTTTGAATCCGAATCACGATGACACAGGAACCGTCCCCTACAACAAAGATGTTTTCTGATTATCGCTAAAGCAAACAACCTACTAACTTTTGACCCAACGGATACAGTAGCTGCAGTACACGTGCAAAACTCACCGATCAAAATGAAGTAAGGGAGCAGCATGCTGCACTTCTTGCCAACACTCCCCGAGTCTAAATGGTGACAATTTCACTAACGCACAAAGCCACAAAAGGTCAAACACGTTGGTCGTCTAAATCGATAAATCAATACTGGTTACACCGTGGCATGCAGACAAAAGGCAAGCATTCAAAGAGGGTTTATCAACGTTCAAAACTTTATCATGCATGCGGGAGCATGGCAACACAGGTCCAATGAGAATTAATAGCATGCAAAAGCTTATGAAGCCAAAGCAGCAGAAAACACGTGCAAAAAAAGGCAAATGCAAGAGACAAACCGAAAAAGCCCCACACATAGCCAATCAACACGAGCAATGCCGTTTGAGCCATCCACCAAGTTGTTACCTACGTAATATTTCAGAACAACAAATGCTATTGGTACTTAGAAGGCAATAAAATGCTACGATACTGAATGGATTCTACAGAATAAACAAGCGGCGGCAAATTCAGTATTCACACTGACATAGCGCTAAGTCAGAGTTCGCTTCAAAGCGGCAAATCCAATAGTAACTAGCCGCAATCACAATAACCACCACCAGCTTGTCACGCTTCACTTTCACAATCCACCCGTCACCTTCAGCAGCAACGCAAAGCTAGAACCACTGCTCTTATGACGCCGTTAGACCGCACGGTGTTAGGCCACGACGCGAGCGGTAGTCCAAACGACGCCAGCAGCCTTGGGCAGAGTGGCTAGCAAACAGACTGGTTGGCCAAGGTCACGATGACAGCTGAATTTGGGGGCGATCGGACCGGACCGGTTCAGCCGCCATCGGTGGTGAGACGTCACGAAAAATGCGTTTCAGGCACCACGCGGTGCCAGTGGAAGTTGCAATGCGATGCAATGGAACCGGTGGGTGCCAGGGCACTGACACTCAATAAAAGGACCGATGAGCTCGCTAATAAGGCGAAGCCAGTGCACTATCTCAAACTGACACCCCGGTTCATACCAACGCGGTGACCAAAAGCAGCTGCCCGCTCCGATGATGATTGGGTTTTGTGGCGTGTCCAACCTCTGAGGGTTATATGACGCCAATAACTTATCTTCCTGCGTGAGGTGCGGGGCAAGAACTGAGCATCAGCCACGGCGAGCTGGAGAGCGTGCAGGCCAGAGGGGTGGTATACGACCGTCTCGGGCCCCGGTCTGCCGGGTCCGGTCGAGAGATAGGAACGCCTCTCATTTTTGGCGCTGTTTTGGATGTTTTTGACATTCGTCAGCTCTGGGTAGATCACCCGAAGGCCGCACCGGTGCGGCTTGGAGCAGTAGTAGTACCTACACCAAATCGGCCGCTCGGTCGCTTGGATGCGTTGATTGCGGCTCATTAGGGTGTCTGGCCGCGCTCTGCTACGTTTCCCGAGGGATGGAAGACATCTTGTAGCTCATCCCTTCCACCAGAGGATACTGAGCTGAGATGCAGAATGATGGCTTGGTGGCGGCGGGCATGGTGGCAGTCTGGGCCGTCGGCTTCCGCACCCAACTGAGCCACTGGCTTTGGTTATGCCCTTCCTTCCCGGCCCCCATCCCCATTCTATGGAGGCTGGAGGGGACCTCAAAATTTTATCATCGCTAAGTTGAAAGTTGAAACAATTTGTGCCAACGACCTCTTAAGTCGTGCCGTGGTGCCCTAATATCACTCAAAACAATTCATCATCTTAAATCTGTAGAATTTCACCACCTACCAACATGAAACACTGCAAGTATCGCAAAAAATAGGTATGCATCTAGCATCACACCCATAGCAATTGATTGCCCTCAGACTCAGGCCCCAAGTCTGGGGTCCGTTCAACGCGGCCGACGTGAGGCTGGTGGAGCGGGTTCAGCGACGGGCTACGCGCCTTGTCCCTGGACTTCGACATCTGCCTTACGAGGAACGGCTGAAGAGTCTGAAACTTCCCTCCCTCCAGTACCGCCGTCGACGCGGAGACATGATAACAATGTTCAACATCATGCACGGCCGCTCCGACCTGGACAAGGACGACTTCTTCTCGCCCGCCCCAAGTACACGCACCCGCGGCCACCGACTGAAGGTGGCCAAGAAGCCAGCGGTCAGCCGCGTCCGGCGCAACCACTTCGCCACCCGGGTTGTGTCGGACTGGAACGCTCTACCAGAGGAAATCGTCTGCTCGCCATCGACCAATGTTTTCAAGAACCGGCTGGACAAGCACTGGACGAACTATGCCTTCGTCGTTCCACAATAGTAAAGACTGTTGATGCTACCCGAGCTCTCTACGACGGATCCACCGGGCAATCCTAGTGCCTTCAATGATCCCCAAATATCAGGTATCAGGTATCAGGTATCAGGACATGGAATCCAATTACCTAAGTCAGAGGTCCTTGGCCCTGCTTCACAGGCACTGCCACTTTGACTTGTCAGCACACTGCCTTTTTTTTTAGTGGCCCTAACTTACGTTACCGGCCTCGCGAGGAGGGCGGCGACCTAACTACGCCGCGCAAAAGAAACCGGCCGTCCTAACTAAGACCGGTGGCCACTTTTACTGCAAGACAACATGGGAAAACCCATATCCATGTACTATGCCATTCACTTTTCAGCAGTTTGTCAAAAGCCTGAGACACGGGAACATAAACACTTCTACCAAGACTGGAAGCATGCGGACTTCAACAGCTAGACTACAATGTTACAAACTTGATGAGAAGATATCTATGCAAACTGTACAGCAGGCATGGGGTACAATAACTGAAGCTATAAGAAACATCATCCAGGATGAAGTTAAAATAAAACGTAGAAGAAAGAAGCTTCAATCATATATGAACCAAGAGGCTCTTTCTCTCCGTAGAAAGAAAGAGAGGTTATGGGAAAAGTATTGTATTACCAGACAAGACTCTGACTTCAGAAACTTTGCCAAACTCAGGAACCAGCTAAGAACATTGACAAGGAAGCTTAAGTTTGAGATGGAAAACAAAATAGTAAGCGCCATGAAAACCAACAAGAAGTCCTTCTGGAAATATGTGAACAAGTCTCTAAAGGTTAAACCTTCTGTAGAGACACTGAAACTGGACGATGGGAGAATTGCTCAAACAGACCGACAAAAATGTGAAGCCTTGAATGCATTCTTCCAAAGTGTGTACACAAAGGAGAACCTGCAGGACATGCCAACACTAGACACCAGACCATATGGGAGTGTCCTTGAAGACATCAATATTAAAAGTGAAGACATCAAGAAGAGGCTAGAAGATCTGAAACCGGGTAAGGCCTCCGGTATTGATGGAATTCATTCCCAATTCCTGAAGGGAACTGCACAAGCACTATGTAAACCTTTTAGGATATTATTCCAAAAGTCACTCGACTCGGGACAACTGCCAAGCGACTGGAAAATGGCTCTGGTTAAACCAATATTTAAGAAAGGAGACCGCCACGAAGTTGGTAACTATAGACCCGTAAGCCTTACGAGTGTTGTTTCAAAGGTCATGGAGGGTATTGTAAAACAAGCTATAATGGCACACCTGCTAGATCAATCACTACTCTCAGATTTTCAATATGGTTTTGTCCCAGGGAAGTCGTGTGAATCACAGTTGTTGTCTTGTATGAATCTGTGGACAAAGTATCTAGAACAAGGTCAGCCAGTAGACGTCATTTACACTGATTTCAAGAAAGCCTTTGACGCGGTCCCGCACCAACGACTACTGAAGAAGCTTGGTGCGTATGGGCTAGGACCAAAAGTCGTTAAATGGCTCGAAGGGTTTCTCTGTGGAAGAAAACAAAGTGTCTCTGTGAACGGTATTATGTCTGATTGGGTGGATGTCACAAGTGGAATCCCACAAGGTACTGTACTGGGACCTTTGTGTTTCCTGCTCTATATAAACGACTTGCCTGAGGTGATGGAATCAAGCAGCATTCGATTGTTTGCAGACGATGCAAAGATTTTCCACCCAGTTAGTTCTTACCAGGACAGTAGGAACCTACAGCTGGACCTTGATAACATCCTGGCATGGACACAATACTGGCAGCTACCATTGAATCTCGACAAGTGCTCAGTAATGCATCTCGGGCCAAAAAACCCACTTCATAAGTATACACTGGGCCAAGTGCAACTCAGGGAAAGCACTTCTGAGAGAGATTTAGGGGTAACGATGGATAACGATTTGAAGTTCCATGTGCATGCTGCAAGAGTCGCAAAGAAGTGCAAGATGCTTCATGCAATTATCAAGCGGAGTTTCACTTACTTGAACAAGGACATGATTTCTAAATTGTATCGAACACTAATACGACCTGTACTTGAGTATGGCAACTGTGTGTGGGGACCTACCTTCAAAGGAGACCAAGACTTACTGGAGAAAACGCAGAGACAATTCACAAAAATGGTCCCAGGTTTGAGCAATGTCCCATACCAAGAAAGGCTGACAGAACTGAACTTACCTACACTCAAGTACAGAAGAACGCGCGGTGACCTAATAACATTGTATAAACTTATTACTGGGAAACTCAAGACGGAAGCTGATATGTTGCAATTTAAACCAGAAGCAAGACATACAAGAGGACACACGTTACGGATCGCAAAAGTTAGTGTAAAGAAACGAGTACGAAGGTCTTTCCTTACACATCGGGCATGTAACTTATGGAATAGCCTTCCAGAGAAAATTGTGAGGTCAAAATCAACTTTGCTGTTTAAAAGAAGAGTGGACGAGTTTTTGAAGAGTGAGAGGCTTAAATTGGAGTAAATGCCACCGAATCGAGGAACTGGATGACAAAGCATTATATCCTTGAATTATCCCACGATCATCCTCACCCAGATCTGCCATATACCTACCCACTCAATCAGTAAGGAGTAATGGAAGTTACAGGCAGTACGCCTTCTTCCGCATATACAAGACTTCAAGACTTCAATATGGGGAAAAACCCATGAATTTACGTTAAGACACATAAATGACCGTGAGATTTACCGTTAAATTGATGTTTGTGCGGGGAGGGAAGGAGGAAGTTTGTGAATGGTAGGGTTACGATGTTAGTTACGATGAAAGTTGGATGATAGGAATGGTTTGAAGAGTGGGGGATATGTTGCTGCCGCTGTTGAAGGCCGATTGCTGTACAGCACAGCACACATGGCAAATTGGGCTTCCAAGGAGACATCACCAAACTTGTTCACTCAAACATTCAGTGACTTGACTGGATTCCATGACGGTTTTTCGTCCAGCAGATTTTCGTCGGACAATTTTTCGTCCGCAGATTTTCGTCCGACTTTTTTTCGTCTCGCATTTTTTCGTCTGTACATTTTTTCGTCTGTGCATTTTTTCGTCTGTACATTTTTTCGTCTGTACATTTTTTCGTCCGGACATTTTTTCGTTCGTATATTTTTTCGTCTGTGCGTTTTTTCGTCCGGACATTTTTTCGTCTACAATTTTAACGTACCGTAAAATGGGGTGTTAAGGGACAGTGGGGTGTTAAGGGACAGTTGCATGGGAAAAACTTTGAGTCATATTAACTTCCTTATTTGAGAAGGTTCAATAAAAACTTCAGTGTGGTAGTTGACACTGTTTTGCTCTTAACCATAGGACAAAATGGTATGTTTTTTCATGCAAGTGATTTGGTTCAAAAATGGATTTGAAAATCATGCTACATTTTCACAAAATTGAAACATCTCCAAAACTCTGTGTGTACCACATAAACTAGTCGGTGTACAGGGAAAATGAATGCATAGGTGTATTGTCACATGTATTACACATGTTTCCTGAAAAACTTGTGCAAATCCACCCATTCATTCATCATCCTCTTCCTCTTTTCTGGATACATTCATATTTTGAGGTGGATAGGGACAGAGAAGAAAAAATAAAAAATTTTATAAACATAATTTCATTAAGTTTTCTTTCAGTAGGCATGGAAAACACCAAATTCCACATAAAATGCTGGCAAGTTCATGCTTTTATCTCTCACATATCTTAAGTTATGTAACAAAACATCTCGCACTCTCTTTTACAATGATGGGTCAATGGAGACTGATGTAGGTAAATGTGATGTCATCATAAAAAGGCTAAAACAAAGAGGGCAACATAATGACAAGTGACTAGCTTCGACATGGGTTTTTATTGATGACAGAAGATTACTTTTTGGTTCTGTTTACCTTATAATTAGCACATTTTCCACAAGCGTAAACTGCATTACACGTAATTGGCTAAAAAGGTCATTAGTGGTGAATGAACCTGACTTGTTTTGTGACAGAATATGCAAAACATTTCAATAAATAAAGTGTGAGCCCTTCCACACCCTAATTGTGGGCATTTGATGACCATTTCTTGGAATAATATAGGTGTCCCTTAACACCCCACATTGGGGGGCTAAGGGACAGTGATGAAAAGTAATAGAAAATAATATGCAGGTATAAATCTTAAAAACTTTAATGTGGCAGGCATGTAAAGCACCAAATTCCACATAAAATGCTGACAATTTGATGCTTCTATCTCCAACCCTTCTTGAGTTATATAACAAAACACCTCAAAACTGTCCCTTAACACCCCATTTTACGGTAACCTAACCTAACCTAACCTAACCTAACCTAACCTAACCTAACCTAACCTAACCTAACCTAACCTAACCTTACCTAACCTTACCTACTGATGTTTGCCTACCGGGGGATAAGGAAAAAGTTACTTGCATGAATAGATTGCAAGCAATGGTAAGTCAAATATTTTTAGGTTAAGTGGTTATGCATCAGGCTTCAGGCCTTCGGCCTGAAGCCAGATACACAACCACTTAACCTAAAAATATTTGACTTACCATTGCCTGTAATCTCTCCTAAGGCATTGCCTTCGGCACTGCACTGCTTCGCCCCGAGTATTATTATGACGTCATTTGCCTCCACAGTTGAATAGCATTGTAGTATGTTTTCACTCAACCTTGGGTGAACAGACGTAAAATTTATTGAACGAAAAAATGTCCGGACGAAAATATGTACAGACGAAAAAATATACGAACGAAAAAATGTCCAGACGAAAAAATGTACAGACGAAAAAATGTACAGACGAAAAATTGCAGACGAAAAAAATGTACAGACGAAAAAATGCGAGACGAAAAAAGTCGGACGAAAATCTGCGGACGAAAAACTGTCCGGACACGACTTGACTGCATCCTGTGATGTCAGCCCGCAAAATGTGCTGGCAGCATAGCTGTAAGCTGCGTGCGAGCAGCGGCCGTGAAACATCCCAAAATGTCAAGATAACAGGGGCCGTATTCACGTCGACTTCGTAAGTCGATTTTCTTTCGTAAGTATAATTTGGTATTCACGTCGGCACTTCTCAAGTTTTTATCGCCGGAGTTCACGTGAATAAAAAAATTTACTTAAGAAGTAGGCCAAACTTAAGGAAATTCTTACGAAAATGATCGACGTGAATACGGCCCCAGGTCTCAAGATCTAAAACGCAGTTCACACTTGCCCGTAAGGTCTGCCGGTGACGGGCCCGACACCGTCAAAACGGCCGAAACCGACGGAGCGACGGCCGTCAGGTCGACGGGCATGTGTGAACCGGCGGCGTTCGACGGCCGGCAACAGCTGACTGCGCCGGCGCCGGACCTGACGGCCGTCGCTTTGGAAAGTTCAGCAATGTTCAACTTTTGACGGTGACGGGCCCGTCGGTTTGAATGTCTGCGTGTTGGAGGAAGAGGAAAAGGAACGTTATCATGCAGCATGAAGCTTATATGCATTTTTAGGATCATTTATACCATTTTCCATCCATTTGTTGAGATGAAAGTATTTATTACGGCACGATATCTTGAGATTCGATCCATGATTTAAATCAACGAACCGATGTGTCTTTCATTTAAATAAAGTTGCAGCATTATTTGACATAAAAATGTAAATGCGTGGTAATTTATTTCTGTAATTCAAATAATATTTTAACCTCTCGGCCTCTACCCTCTCCCCCATCCCCTTCCCCCATCTGCGTCAATCTCGAAAATGGTGCGCCATTTCTGTCACATTATATGGCAGCCAATAGGAGCTACCAAATCTCAACTTTCGTTTGACGGGCTGCAGGCCGTCAGGTCGACGGTGACGGGCCCGACACCGACAGACTGACGGTCATGTGTGAACTGCGTTTAAGAGCAGTTAAACATTGAATGCAGTGAGGATTGAGAATGGCCACATGTCAGGCTGTGTGTAAGACAAGGAACAATGAATAGCGCCTTTAATGTCAAAATAAATACAGAGCAGGTTAAATACAGAGCAGTTTAAAATACAGAGCACGCAATAATGTAAAGTAATAATTAAATACAGAACCCACAACCCACACCTCACCGGCTTGTTCACACGGCGGCGACCGCGTTCGCCGCGTTCCAAATAAAAAATGTGCAAGGTGAAGCTGCGGGGAATTGTTAAAGTTTAGAATAAATGGTATTGTGACGTCATACGCGTCAGCCAATCATGTCACCAAAAATATTACGCATGTCGTTCATTATTTCATTGTAAGAGTTCAGTATCCACTGACCAAGTTCAAGGGCGGATCCAGGGGCATCTCAAAGGGGGGGCCAAATGCCCATCATGTTTTTCGCTAGGATAGGGCCCGCAGAACCTAACCTACCCCCAAATCCTATTTTCTCCCCGGATTTCGGCCACTTTATTTTGTAAGGTTGCAATTTTGCCAAAAAAAAAATCAAATAAAATAAAAAATCAAAAAAAAATCACGTACTTCGGCGGTAGGGGGGGGGGGTTAATAGGCCCCAATTTGGCTGCGCCCTTGCAAATGGCAATCCGTAGTGGCAACCTATACCCTGCTAAAGCGCCTTTCTAAGGAGAGGGGTTAACGCCTGACTATTTTTTGCTAGGCCTAGGCCAATTGAAGGGGAACTGCAAGGTGGGCTTATACATGCAGCGATATCCGAACAACAAATAAGGAGGCAGAAAACCTAAATTATTACTTGGGAGTAGTCAAAATGTCATTGAGAAAGCCGGCCGTGATGGGGTACATTTTCCGCATCCTGCTCTGCATGCAAAAGCAGATGGACGTGAATGATGCTTAAAGTGATAGCGTGTATTTATTAGTAGAAGCTTGGGTGCCTATGGGACAAAAATAACTTTGGTAATAAACATGTAATTGTGGTAAAATGTTGATAGCATGAATCCCTCAGCACAGGATATGTTTAGCCAGATATGAGTCTATGAATCGGTCTTATGGTTGGATTTTCAACCCGGAATGGCATTTGACATAATGACATTAGCGGTTTAGGGCACAAATGGCTCACAAGTAAGCTCACAAAATGATGCATGATGAAGAACTTGTTATTCAAGCCAAGCTGTTTTTGTGCAATACGCGTATGATTTATATCACATGTGTTTCCTGAAATCAGGTGATTTCATCGCGTTTATGCTAGCTGTCCTGTTCACAGAGATCAGCACAATCAGCCTATCAGTTAATACGCGGTCATCCTATCTGTCAGACATCTGATAGTGATGACAGTTGACACGTCTGGCGCAGAACCGAATGTATATTATGTATGTACATACATATATGGTCAGCCTTTCAATATCACATCGCACAGGATGAGGATAACATTGAGCAGTCGAGGATCACATCGCGCAGGGTCAGGGCCACATCGCGCAGGATCAGGATCGCGTCGCGCTACAGGCGCAATCGGAACTCCCGACGGCGACAGGCAGACGCAGCGAAGCGGTTGATGACCTCGCTGGTCGCCGGCATGTGGTCCCGATGTACCTGAAGCAGAACGAGCGCCTCGAGCCGACCCTCGGTCATGGTCGTTTTGAGCGCTGTCAGTGTCCTAGCTACCTTGGAAAACACGCGCTCGGCTTCTGCGGTTGTTACTGGTAGCACGCTGAGTACCTTTAGAAGCATATGTACGTTTGGAAAGATTTCAGCCGGGCACGCGTTGAGGGAACTGATAGCAGTCGTCGGAACTTCTTCCTTGGGTTTATCACGCCACATGGCTTTCCACACGCTGAACTCGGCTTTCACCTGCGAGTCAGTTACTGATCCTAGGAGACCTTTAAACTGCTCGTAGGCTGGCTCCACGTCAGACCACTCCGTAGAAACTGTTTTCTTTGGCAGGAGTTTGCTGAGGCTCGCGGTCAGCTGCGTGTGCTTGCCGAAGCGCAGGTTGATGTCTTGCAGGACGAGATCCACGGCAGGATTGAAGACCGTGATCTGGTAGTAGGCTTCTGTGGAGAGATCCCTGCCTGCATTTCCCCGGTAGACGGACTTTTCTGGCAGACGCGGCTTCCTCACCTCTACACTCAGCTTCTCTGCAGCGCATTCCACCGTCCGCATCAACACAGCGAATTCCTTTTCACTGGAGGCTCTCTGCTCCGTCAGCACGGACTTCACCGCATCTACCAACTGTAGGGCTTTAGTGAGGTCCAGCTGCTTATCCTGAAGTGCCAGAGCCAATGGCCGAAGGATGCCGGCCAACCGTTCAACTACGACCAGACCTACCAGGAATTCGGTCCTCGAGATGGCACTCAGAAGCGCCGTGGCCTTCGAACTGGAGCGCCGATCTTGCCACGTGGCGATCTGCTCCAGTGCCAGGTGGATAGCGCTGAGCTGTTCCAAGAAACGCTCCACAGCGAGATGCCTTTCGACAAACCGTGTTTGGCACAGTTTGATCAGCTTGAGCCTCTTATCGCCGTCCATCTTTGATGACTGTGCGTAGCGCAGGATTTCGCCCCGCTTTGCACCATCTGTTAGAAAAACGACGACAGTCTCCATTGTCCCCAAGGCATTTCTTACCAAATCCACTTTGTTGCTGAGTGACGTCGATAGATTCAATGCATGAGACGCACAGTGGAAATACTCTGCCAGTGGTGCGGCTTCCTTCACTTGTGCCACCACGCCCACCCGCTCACTCGACATAGCAGCCGCGCCGTCGTAGCATTGGGCTACAAGGCGAGAAGTGTCCAGGCCCAGCTTGCGGATACTGCCTAGCAGCGCTTCTGCGAGGTTCTTCCCCGACATCTTCAGCTCTGGGCCGTTCGCGGACCGCCGAATGACGTCCATCACATCCAGAAGAGCGACAGGGTCTTCCCGAATTACGAGTTGGCCACTCTCATTTTCGTCTACATATCGAGCCACCACAGCCATCTGCTCTCTGTTTGAAATGTCTGTAGTGTCATCAGCCATCAACGCCCATACTTGAGCCTTTTGCACCTTGTTTGTCACACGTTCCTGCACCAAAGTCCTGAGGACGTCGAGGAGCTCATTCTGGACTGTTTTGCTCGTGTAAAGCGCGTTACCAGAACCATCTTGCAGGTGCCTTTTCAGTACTTCGTCGCCACTCTGAAGCCTAAATCGGAGCAGCCCTTTAAAGTTTCCATCGTTTTCGGCTGGCTGAGTACCACTCCCATCAATTCGCCCATCGTCACGGTGGCCTCGCAGTGATATGTTTTGCGTCACAGCAAACTTGAGCGTTTCGATGATTGACGTCAGTACTGCCCTGTTACGCCTGACCTCGCGCTCGCTCGCTGTGTCCATCACTGCATCGATGCTTTTCTTTGGATCCTTCATTGCGATCGTAAAGCTGGCAGCCTTTGCAGCATTGGCCTGGTGGGATGCTGACTGGGCATGCGAATCCAGAGCACCATTCTTGCCGGTCAAGTCAGAAAAGTCGACAAGGGGGCGGCTCACCAGCTTGCCTTTCGACCTGCCTTTACCTCCACGTGCACCTTCGCCTTCATCAAGAGTTTCGCCAAAAAGCACACAAACACTACACCATGCACCAGATAAGTTCCCCTTTCTGGATACAGCCAGCCACTTGTATGTATCCAAGTGATGCCGGAGAAGATACCTCGGCCGGGACACCCCATTCTTTGTGTGATACGAAACAGGGAACTGACTTTTCTCGGAGGGACACCATCGTTTGGTCAGTCCTTCTAGCTTTTCTTCATCGCTGGTTTTCTTTGCGATAAAAAAACCGAAGTCATTCGGAGGCAGAACAGGCCTATCATCTGGGATTCCAACAATGTCCTCTGAATCGCCACCACTCTGGTCTGGAGAGCCTGCTGACTGATTTTCAGATGGCGTGAAGGATGAGGTTCCAGGGCCAGGACCCGTCACAGGAGACTCCAGGGCCAAGGGGCGATCCTCCTCTGAAGAGACAAGCAAGGGGATATAGGATTACTATCCGGTCGCTAAACGGTCAGGTTGGACTCTGCTGGTTGGACTCTGAAAATTACTTTATCAATTAGGCAAGCATATTAGGAAAAAAGCTGCCGATTGTCGGCGCTGGCATCTTTGGTAGGTACCTAAGAAGTCGGAACACCACCAAGCTCGTTTGCAAAATATTAAAAAAATGTTATTTGCATAAAAATAAAACAAGAAAATGCAACGTTTCTAGTTCATTCACTCAAAAACCGTTTGTCAAAGTCATGTTACCATTACAACCAGTGGGTGTTTCGGACCGCCAGCTAATGTCCGATAAAAAAGTAAAAACAATCTAGGTATATGTAGTAGTCTGTTTAGACTAAAGCAAGGTTACCGACAGAAGGTTAAGAAGACGGCATAGGTAACACGACGGTGACGCCCGTACAATCAGCTTACGCTCTATGATAATATGATAATTGGGGCTTAGGGGCGCGCCGACTACAATGGTCAAATGACGCTCATATTAGCTTCTGCTCTAGCATGCGCCATTGATAGTTCAAACCAATCTTAGCCAGAATTCACAAAGCTAGTATAACTATTCTATTTTTAGATACTATTTGTGACTGCCGGCGAGCGGTGCGCGTTGTGCCGCTGAGCCGTGTCAGCACTCGTCGCTGTAGAGGTCGCCGCGAGCGCTGCGAGCCTCGTCGACCAGTGGGTAGGATAGGTGGCGGTAGCGGTCGGTGCGCAGACTACAATGCACCGACACGTTATAGACCGATCGAAAAGTCTTGACTGTGCTATGACTGTGGCAAAGGGACCGACCGAACAAAACAAATCAAGCAAACCATAAGAATGTGGCAATGGGTAGCTCGATTCGGGCGGCGGCGTGGCCAGGCGACCCCGTGACCTCTGGCCGTGTCCTTCTGTGTGCGCGGCCCATTCGCCCCTGACTTGGGATGTCGATAGGTAAGTGGCTGCCGGTGCCCTTAAAATCATGCGTGTTTTAGAAATAAATGAAAGTGATATAAGTGTTGGGAAAAGGTATAATTTTTTTCTGATGATATTACTGCATGCTCTGGCAGTATATATTGATTAAATCTTGTTTGCTTTCAGATTCAGGCACAATAATACAACAGCACAGGTGCAAAAGGCGGTTTAGAGGTAGAACAATAGCTGTCATTACACTATTCACATAGCAGAGGGATATACATGTAATACTCACATTTTTAATACAAGAATTCATTAAACTATAACTGAACACAATATGCCTGAATGAACTGCAACATAAGCTACTGTAATAGGCTCCTGCTGTTGCTGTGGGCATCTCTGGTCCAGGAGTAGGAGAAGGGGTGCTCGGAGGATCACAGGCTGGGACAGATGGCTGTGGATCCAGGCTGAAAAAGTCGGTGTGTGGAATTCAGAACAATGCAGATGTAGTGATCCATTATCCATATATGCCAGCACTCAGCAGCCAAGGTAGTATTAGTTGATACTAACACAAAGGTGGATTTAATTGCTTTAAAATGCTCATTTAAATAAAGCAGCACCAAAATTAGACACCTATCTAAGAGGCTGAGACTAAAACACTGACCAAAATGTATTATACAATACAATTCCAATTAAACATTGTTGTAAATTACCACACATGTCAAATATATGCATCCAGAATGGCTTCCATTACATTTTCAAATACTTTTTTACTTGCCTGTTTCTGTTTTTACTTTTCTTTGAGAAAAAGTCCATCATGGACTTTTGCACAGGTGGTCCTCGTCTTTTCATCATGGATGGCTTATCCTGGAAAATGGTTTGGTGGGTCCTTAAAATGTGCCTAAAGCAAGTTGTTATTTACTTATTTTCTGGTCTATCTTTTCATCTTTCTTCTAGGTTAAGTTGCAGATAACTTTTCACTCCTTTGCAGGCACTGACTTTGCACTGTAGGTAATTCTCATTGCTATTTGAGAAAATTTGCACTAATACTCCTAAAACCCAGAGAAACATTGGAAAATATATGCGCACAACAGCCTTGGTGGTGTCCCAAAATTGGCTTCAGCATAAATGTCAACAGAGCAAAATTGGATCTTAAAATCCAATGTGAGTGTGGAAAGTTTAAGCCAAGAAGGCATGGGCTAAAATATGAGTTGCAAACCTACCACACCTCGATTAGTGATTACCTACCCGACTCCACGCACAACCGGTATATAAGGTATATAGGACTTTGCACACAACAACGCGGCAGTGTATACGATATTAGAGCGAAAAAGTGCGGCGATCGCGGCGATACGGCGTGTAAACAAACGTGCATTTCAAGGTTTTGGTTATAATGGGAATGAAGTATGGTAGCATCATGATACCATAGTAGCTCAGGCATATCCATGGCTCATGAAGTTTTCCTTCAATAATTCCGATTTGGGGTTTTAAGATGGTACAACACGGCCGGGCCATTGTCATATTTGGACAAAAATAGAGATGTTTGGCCTTGGCGTAGATAAGAAAGTGAAAATGATCGTGAATACATGAGTCGGCTCTGAAAAAGAACACGGATGAAAGGGGGGGCCAAAAGATATGTTGGCCCCCCCTTTCAGCGTCAAAGGGGGGGCCATGGCCCCGTTGGCCCCCCCCCCTGGATCCGCCCTTGACCAAGTTTGGTCCAAATCGTAGGGGCTCACCTGATTCCGAATCTTAGATTATAGATTAGGATTCGCTTACATCTAACTTGACGACCGTTGAATTATTTACATAGCCCTGATCGGCGGCCGGCTAGTACTCTTGCCGGCGCTCACATACGTGCTGGTTGCCCCGGCAACGGGCTATTGACCAATGAGAAGCGAGGAAAGTGCAACGTCACTGCGATTTTTCATATACCTGTGCCCCCTGTAGCACGCTTCTCATTGGTCAATAGCCCGTTGCCGGGGCAACGTGCACGTATGTGTGCGCGGGCTAGCGCGCTAGCCGGCCGCCGAACAGCGCTATGGTTATCGGAAAAATATCCATGAGCCCTGATCGGCGGCCGGCTAGTACTCTTGCCCGCGCTCACATACGTGCACGTTACCCCGGCAACGGGCTATTGACCAATGAGAAGCGAGAAAAGTGTTACGTCACTGCGATTTTTCATATACCTGTGCCCCCGGACGTGACGTAGTGTGCTCGCGCGCGTGCAGGGTCTCTGCCAGGGGGGTACGCTCCGGCTGTTTAGCATTACGAAAAATGGTGACAGACGTTTGTGGAGGATTGTCGACGAACTCTTGTTCCGCGAGCAGTACTTACACGCTAGCGGAAAATTCACCAATCAGCGCTCGGCAGTACTCGACGCTGATTGGTCCGACGCTCGTGACGAAATTGCGGGGGACCGCAGTTATTCTCTATGGACCCGAATAGGCTTTTGGATTTCGGAGGGGTTTCTTTAAAATTATATGCTGTTTGGAGCTGTTTTCGAGTTGAAATATATTTCTTATGACTGTTAGCTATATAATGACACCATAAAATCATGATTTTAATAAATATTACCGATGTAATATCGGTCGAAAAGACATGCTGTCATGGCACGGACTGCCCTGCGGCTGATGTGGGGCCCCTAGTGCCAGCGTATGGTAATAATGGGCTGACGAAGGGTTATTGGAGAAACTTAG